GCCCCCCCTGGGGGCCCCCGGGGCCCCCGGGGGGCCCCCCGGGGGCCCCGGGGGGCCCCCCGGGGGGGCCCCCGGGGCCCCCGGGGGCCCCCGGATGCTGCGTTGCTGCCTGTGTTGCTTCGCAGTGGAGCGGGAAATTGGGCGGGGAGGGTTCAGCCGAGTGTTTCGCGTGCGGAGCCGCAAAAGCGGAGTTTTGCTGGCAGCAAAAGTTTTGGAAAAAGCAAAAATAGAAAATGAGCAGCAGCGGCTGCGGAGGGCCCTCGTGGAAAAAGAAGTTTTGAGTTGCTGCCAGTCGCCCTTCGTGCTGCAGCTCTGCTGCGCCTTCCAGACGCGAAGCCACATGGTCCTCGTCACCGAGTTCTGCCCAGGCGGTAGCTGCTGCTGCTGCTGCTGCTGCTGCTGCTGCGAATGCTGCTGCGAATGCTGCGAATGCTGCTGCTGCGAATGCTGCTGCTCATGCTGATGGTGATGGTGATGAGCATGGTCTTGATGATCACGATGATGATGAGGATGCTGCTGCTGCTGCTGCTGCTGCTGCTCATGTTACTGCTGCTGCTGCTGCTGCTGCTTCTTATGCTGCTCATGCTGCTGCTGCTGCTGCTGCTGCGGCTGTTTCTCGTTTCTTTGGGCCACTGTAGGCGCTCGTCTGTGACCCTGTTTGGGTCGGCTCATGTGTCTCCTTTTGTTGCATTTGTCTCCTTTTGTGTTTCTTTATTTCTTTTTTATTTCTGTTTTTGTTTTTTTCGTTTTGCTGCGGCTGCCTTTTTGTGTCGCTGCTGCTGCTGCCTCTGGCAGCAGCAGCAGGGAACGTTGCTGCGCTTTCTGGTTTCTCATTTTTGTATCTCTGTTGGCCCAAAAGGCACTTCTTTTACTTGCTCCATTGCTGCTGCTGCTGCTGCTGCTGCTGCTGCTGCTGCTGCAGGTGACCTGGCGGCGCTGCTGCGGTGCCACAAACGCCTGAGCGAAGCAGCAGCGCGCTTTGTTGCTGTTGAGGTGCTGCTGGGGCTGCAGCAGCTGCAGCAGCAGCAAGTTGTGTACAGGGACTTGAAGGCAGCAAACGTGCTTATTGACTTGGACGGCCACTGCAGACTTGCGGACTTCGGGCTCGCCAAGAAGCTCACCGGTGAGGCCAAACCCCTTTTTAGGGTTTAGGGTTTAGGGTTTGCTGGCCAGGTGGTGTGCCCAAAACCGCGTTCTTCTGGGCTGTGCTGCTGCAGGCCAACTCAAGAAGACATTTTCCTTCTGCGGCAGCCCGGAGTACCTCAGCCCGGAAATGCTGCTTGGATCGGTAAACCCTAAACCCTAAACCCTAAACCCTAAACCCTAAACACTTGCGCTAAACCCTCGTCCCGTGCGTCCCTGCGACAGCCAAGAGCCCCTTGTGCTCTTTGCATTCTGTGTTGGCTTATTGAGAGGTCTTCAGAGCTTCGCCTTTGGCCAGCGTAAAGCTTACGGTCTAGGGTTTAGGGTTTAGGGTTTAGGGTTTAGGGTTTAGGGTTTGGGGTTTGTTTCAGGGGCACGACCACAGCGTGGACCTGTACGCGCTGGGCTGCCTCATCTACGAGCTGCTGGTGGGGTTTCCGCCATTCTTTGCTGCAAACCGCAACGTGATGTACATGAAAATAATGCAAGGTAATTATCTTTTTAAAATAAAACCAAAAAGTTAAAAAATGGCGAAAAACGAAGCCAAATAAGGCGGGCTGCTGCTGCTGCTGCTGCTGCTGCAGCTGCTGCTGCGCCTGCTGCTGCGGTGTACGTACACCCCACGCAGCTTGGGGTGTACGTACACCCCACGCGGGCCGTCGCCTGCGGCGCAGAGCGTCGCCGCTGCATGCAGCGGCTGGGGCTTTTCGGAGGCACCCACGGCGCGGTTTGCTGCTGCTGCTGCTGCTGCTGCTGCTGCTGCTGCTGCTGCTGCTGCAGGACAGCTCTCGTTTCCCGCTTCCTGCCAGGCCTCCGCAGAGGCTCGCTCGCTGGTCTCGCGTTTGCTCTCGTTGGAGCCGCTGATGCGCGTGGGGGCTTTGGGGGGAGTTGAGGAAGTGATGCAGCACAGCTGGTTCGCGGGGGTTTCTTGGGAGGTGAGCGGTTGCTGCAGCAGCAGCAGCAGCAGCAGCAGCAGCAGCAGCAGCAGAGTTGAGCAGCGGGGAACAGCACGCTGCAGCGGAGACGCGGCCTTAGGCGCTGCGGCTTCTAGGGTTTAGGGTTTGGGGTTTAGGGTTTAGGGTTTGGGGTTTAGGGTTTAGGGTTTGTTCGGTGGCTCCTTTCTTTGGTTCGCTTCATTTTTTACTCAAAACTTCTTTTGTTTTCCACTCAGGCAGCCAAAAGACTTCGCCTGGCCAGCCCCCTGCTGCCGCTGCTGCGGGAAGCGCGGGAGAGAAACCCTTTGCCCATCGTCCAGTACGTTAGGGTTTAGGGTTTAGGGTTTAGGGTTTAGGGTTTAGGGCGTGTTGCGCGCCGTGGCTTTTGGCCTCCAGTACCAAGGGTTTGCGTTGAACGCCTTGGGGTTTCGTGCGTCTCAAAAGTGCATGCGGGCGTGAGGATTTAGGGTTTAGGGTTTAGGGTTTAGGGTTTGGTTAAGTATCTTTTCTGTGGCTGCATGCGCGTAGAGACAAAACCCTAGAGGCCCCTCTGGCCTGCGACAGGGGCCGCTGGAAGCCGCAGCACTTTTGCGCCTCTTTGGCTTTTGACTACACAAACCCTGCGCGCCTGAACGACTTGGCGGCGAGACTAAGTAGGGTTTAAGGAGGGTTTAGGGTTTAGGGTTTAGGGTTTGGGGTTTGCGGACGAGGGTTTAGGGTTTGGGGTTTGCGGACGAGGGTTTAGGGTTTGGGGCGTAGGACGGAGGTTTAGGGTTTGGTTCCCATGCCGCTGCGGTCTGTGAGGGGCCTCCGGGCCGAGGGTTTAGGGTTTCGGGCGGTTTGAGGGTTCCTAGGGCGTCTAGGGTTTAGGGTTTAGGGTTTAGGGTTTTGTCTGCACCCACAGCACCACGGGGTGTAATTAATTCGGGTTTGCTGCTGCCTTTGCTTTCGCATTTTCGAGCAGTCGACTCTACAGTAGAAGGCGCATGCGTTGCCATTCCTCAAGTTGTAAACTCAGGCGCAGCAGCAGCAGCAGCAGCAGCTGCTGCTGCTGCTGCTGCGGCTGATGCAGCAGCAGCAGGAGATAGCGTTGCTGCTGCTCTCGCATCGGGCTCCACGCTTGCTCCGGAAGAAAGCCTCAACACCGATGAGTCACTGTCTCCCACATCCAGTGCAACTGACAGTGCAGCAGCAGCAGCAGCAGCAACAGCAGCAGCAGCAGCAGCAGCAGCAGCAGCAGCAGCGCCTGCCAAGGAGTGCTCCGTGGAATGCACAAATGTGAGTGAAGACAAAGGCAGTGGGAGCGACACTTCTGCATCTGAGAGTATGGATGAAGGACCTCAAGAGAGTAGGATTACGGGGGCAGCCGAGGCAGCAGCAGCGGCAGCAGCAGCAGCAGCAGCAGCAGCAGCAGCAGCAGCAGAGGCAAACAGAATAGTTTCGAATGCACGGATACCAACAACAGACGCCGCAGCAGGGCCCCCAGGGCCCACACCAGCAGTCGCTGCAACTGAAGGTAAAAGAGAGGCAGCCACGAAGGCAGCAGCAGCAGCTGCTGCTGAGCAGCAGCAGCAAACGGCGCAGGCACTGCAGCCTGCAGCAGATTCCAAAGACAGGGGCCCCTCAGCAGCAGCAGCAGCTGACCCAGCCGGGGGCCCCAAGGGGCCCCCAGAGATGGCTGCTGCATGCAGTTTGCCTTCTGTGGGGTCCACAGGCGGGAAGGAGCAGGCACCGACGGACTCTGCTGCTCCGCTCAAGAGCAGCAGCAGCAGCAGCAGCAGCAGCAGCAGCAGCAGCAGCAGCAGCACGGAAGAGCGTAAGGAAGCCCTCGCGCTAGTTACCGAGGATCATGATTCTCCTGACAAAGGATTAAAGACCAAAAAGAGCTTCAACCCTCCCCGGGTGAGCACGCTGGCCTCACAGCGCCGACAGCAGCAGCAGCAGCAGCAGCAGCAGCAGCAGCAGCAGTCGCGCCAGGGGCCCAAGCCCAGCTCCAGTGAGCTTACAAGCAGCAGCAAAGTGAAGCACAGCAGCTCCGGCAGCTTCTCCAGTCTGCGGCAGCGTCCGGCTGCAGCAAAACAGGCCCAGGAGCCGCACAGCGGGGCTGCTGCTGGGGGCCCCCTGGGGGCCCCCGCGGGGGCCCCCGCGGGGGCCCCCCAGGCAGCGCACGCAGAGCGCAGCAGCAGCAACTTGGCGCGGGGCTCTGCTGCTGCTGCTGTTCGCGTCGCCAGCGCCTTCGCGCCCGGGGCTGCTTTGGCTGACCGAAAGGGCGCAGCAGAGGGAAAGTCTGCTGCAGCAGGCAGAGCCACAAGACAGTCAGGGAGGCCCAGCGGGAGCCGCAGCCCGCCTTCTGCTGCGGGGGCTTAGCTGCTGCTGGGGCTCTGCTGCTGCTGCTGCTGCTGGGGCTTTGCTGCTGCTGCTGCTGCTACTGCTGGTGGGAGCCACGCTGAGGGCCGGAAGGCCGGAAGTTTCGGAACGGGATTCAGTTGCAAACTCGCCAGTAAGGCGCAGTCTTGACTGCTGAAAGATGATCTTTGTGAGCCCGAGCTGCTCTGTTGTGTTTGTTATCGCGCGGAAGACTTTCGTCCACAGTCTTGGCCGAATGGCATTCATCTTGAATAGTTAGCGGCCTCCCGCGCTCGCAGAAAGCTGAGCCGTTCAGGGGCGAGGCAAAGGTTTGTGGGGAATATTTTTAACAGGCAAAAACTACGCAGCTTGGGACGAGGAATTCGAAGTGTGAAAGGCGAAATGAAGTGCAGTGTTGCACTGATCGCGCAGTGGCCGACAGCCCAGGTGGCGACGCGCGTACACCTGAACTAGCTCATTCGATCTGCCAATTTGAAGAGCTCCGGCTCTTAAAAATTAGCAATTAGCGTTTATGTTTTGTTTTTTCAATGTGGGAGAGACACTGGATGGTCTGCCGGGGGCTCTTCTTGGCGACTTGCTGTGTGGCCTTCACTGGGGTGATGCTCCCCTCGATTGCTTTAGCCGTGGGGGAAAGGAAGAAACGTAAGAGAACAACCCGCTGGGAAGACTCGCAAAGCTCTTTATATTGCACCAGTTCACTACAGAGGGCGCGAAGTGGTAGCGAGTCCGCACTTCGAGCAGCTGTTGAATCCGACGAACGAGAATGCGCAAAACTCGCCCGTCGGTCCGTCTACAGCCGCCGATCTTGCAATTTTTCCCGTTATTTCTCTTAAGTTATTAATTTAAAACTTCTCAAACACAAAATAATGAAAGATCGCGGCTCACGAGCCTCTGCTCAGGGGACACGGCGCCGTCGCCCGCGCCCGTCGTGAACTTGCACGTGGACTTGCCTAACACGGACAAGTTCAACGCGAAGGCTTCGCTCGTGCGAACTAGAGAGCTTCAGGACATAGTGAACACGGGGCAGCGCAAATTTGAAGAAGACATTTTCGGTAACTTGAACTTAAGTCTGAACTTGAACTTAAGTTCTGAACTTGAACTTGAACTGACGGGTGCACACGCTGGAAACCTCTTGGCGACAGATTTCCAACAGATCATCCAGCAGCAGGTTTGCAAAACTTGAAAAAAAATCAACGAGGAAAGCTTTTCAAATTTGTGCAACTCAGGCTGAGGAAATGAAGGATCTACTGGCGCTTGCCGAGATGATCACTTCTGTATCCAAGGGGGAACAAGCGGCATAAGGGCCTTTTCTGCATCTCTTTTCTTCTCAAGTTCTTTTATTTTCTAAATTCAATTTAATGTCATTAGTTGCATTTCATTTACTTCTTTCGCGTTCTCCCAAGTCCGCAGTCACCCCACAAGCCAGCAGCACGTGCGAAGCGCTGAGTGCTGCGAAACCTCAGGGATTTGCCGCTGCTTCTCTTTCCAATATCGCAATAGTATATTATAAAAATATTATTTTAAATATTATTTCCGCACAAGTAATAACCAGAAAGTCCTTCGGATCTCTTCCTGGTTAGGCTTCTGGGGCTGGAGCCACCAGCCCCTGCAGGATCTTCCGCAGGATTTGAACTTGTCAAAATTCAAGTTTTTTAATAATCGAAAATAAACTTTTGGCTTCATTTTCGATATTTCTTCATTCATTTTTGCGGCGAAGCTCGCTGGCGGCCGGCGCTGCTGCTTCAACTTGCAAGATCCAGTGAGACCAGCCGGAGAGTTCAGGTGTACGACTGCCTTCCAGGAAAGCTGGGAATTGAAGGCTGCTGCGGCTCAGGAGTCCTTTAAAAACTCTTTTGCTGCAGTTTATTCTGCATTTACGAGCTTGGGCTCATCCGGCGCAGCAGGAAGCGCAGCAGCAGCAGCAGCAGCAGCTGCAGCGCCGCTGCTGATCTGGCCGGCGCGGGAGTAGCAGCAAGTTGCTGCTGCAGCAAGTGCTGATCTGCAGGTGCGGGAGTAGCAGCGAGCTGCTGCTGCTGCAGCAATTTGCTGCTGCAGCAAGTGCTGATCTGCAGGTGCGGGAGTAGCAGCGAGCTGCTGCTGCTGCAGCAAGTTGCTGCTGCTGCCACAATGTCCATCCCCTGCTTGTTCGAAGACCGCTTCACCATCCGCAATGTGGACAACGGCAAGTTCGAACGCGTCAGCAGAATCCGCGCGAAGAGCTCCGGACTTGACGCGGATTTGATCCTCGACGTCCACAACCAGCTGCTGCCCGTGGCGGAGAAGCAGGTCAGCTGCTGCTGCGCCTGTGCAGCAAGCAGCAGCAGCGCAGCAGCAGCGCGCTGCAGCACTGCAGCAGCAGCAGCAACAGCAGCAGCAGCCCCTTGCAGTGCTTCTCTGCCTCAGTGAATTCGTTTCAAGCCACAAATGAGCTCCTCAGCTGCTGCTGTAAAGCTGCGGCACTAGAGGAAAGCAGCCAAGCACCGAACGAATCAACCAGCATCTGCTGCTGCTGCTGCTGCTGCTGCTGCTGCTGCTGCTGCTGCTCAGGGGCTGCACATAGGCCTGACGAATTCGCTGTCTGGCCCTGACCGCAAAGGCGACGGCGCTGCAGACTCGCAGCTGCTGAGCGGCTACGACTACGTGATGTACGGGAAGGTGTTCAAGTTGGAGGAAACTTCGTCGGAAAGGAGGTAAAAGTTGGTTTTTTTTGGATTTTTTTTTGAAATTATTCAATTATTTGCATTTTGTGATTCATTTGACGCATTTATTTCCACTTATTTCCACTTTTCGCCGCAGAACTCTCTACTTGTCCTTCGGAGGCCTCCTCATGTCGCTCGCGGCGGACAAACACGTCGTGGGCGACTTGGAGCTCGACATGAGGGTCTACTTGCTCGTCAAGAGGTCTCCAGAGGCCCTCGCAGACTAACTCCAACAACCAGCTAGCCACAGCTAGCCACAGCTAGCCACAGCTAGCCACGGCTAGCTGCAGCTAGCCACGGCTAGCCACGGCTAGCCACAGCTAGCCACAGCTGGCCACAGCTGGCTGCGGTTAGCCGCAGCTAGCCACGGCTAGCCACAGCGGGCAACAGCTAGCCACGGCTGGCCGCAGCTAGCCACAGCTGACCACAGCTAGCTGCGACTAGCCGCAGCTAGCCAAAGCTAGCTGCAGCTGGCCAAAGCTAGCCACAGCTAGCTGCAGCTAGCCACGGCAGTCCGGAGCAGCGGGCTGCAGACAATCACAGCAGCTACGCGTGCCACCTCAGCTGCATGCAGCTAGCTGCTGCTACCTGCAGCTAGCTGGGGCTACCTGCTGCTCTCCAGGGTTTGCTGCTGCTGCGCATGCATGCTGCAGCAAGACACGAGTGGCTGCGGCTGGCACAGTGGGGTGCTGCTGCCCACAGTGGCTTTTCTTCTTTTTGCTGCTGAGTGTGTCGAAGGCTCAAAAGTTGGCAGAGAAAACAAAAAAGGAAAAAAATTAAATAAAATTCAAACACTTTAAATGCTTCATTAAAGACTTTTGGGTTTCTTTTTCTTCTTTTATGCCAGAAAAAGAAAAAATGATTAATTCGAATAGAATTTGGCAAGTGCAGCAACAGGCAGCTGCAGCGCATGCACAGCAGCAGCCGCCTTGCACGGGTTTCCGTGCAGATTCAGAAAGCCCCGAGAAGTTCAATAAGGCGAAAGTTATTTAATTGGACAAAAAATGGAGATTTGGAGAAGAGGAAATGGTGGAGTTGGACTTGTTTGTTCAAATTCGGCTGGTGCAGCCAGTGCATTCATGAATGGCTTTATCGAGGCAGCAGCAAACCTTTTTTGCGAGTTGCTGCTGCTTCTGGCTAGCCACAGCTGTTTGGGGTTTGCTGCAGCTAGCTGCGAGCAGCAGCAACTGCTGTGCTGCATTTGAATCTGCAATTTTCGAAGGGTTGGAGCGAGGAACTGTTGCAACTGCAGCAGAACCCAGCTTGCTGCTGAGAAAATGTGGAAAGTTTCAGCATATATTTGCTGTTATTTCCCGTTTTGCTGCAGTTCTTTCGCTTCTCGCTGCAGTTTCTTTTGCTTCTTGCTGCACGCTTCCGTTTCTGCATCGGTCATCGACGGCGGGCGACACGGCCGCAACTTCGGGAAACTGTCCTGTGTCACGGTGTCTTTCCTTTTAATTATTTGTCTTTAAGTAATTTAATTTTTTTATTATTTTTTGTTCAGAATTTTCCTTGGCTTTCCAGCTAAGTTGTACATGAACGGCAGCGCCTCCGACCCGCACCAGTGGGCTGACCGCTGTTTGCACAAGTTCCGGTTCCGCGCGTCAGTCTGCCAGAAAGGCCTTTATTGTTTATTGTTATAGATATTTATTAAATTAAAACAAAAATAACGAAGCAACTGGCCTCATGCGAGAGTTTCTGCAGCAGACGCAGCAGCAACCGCAGCAGCTGTTGTTCATCGGCTGCAGTGTTCTGCTGCGCCCGAGCACCCCCAGGCGCGCTCACTCTGTCGCAGTTTCGCTACTCTTTTTCCTTAAGTTGTTTTTTGTGTCCTTTTCTTTTTTATATTTACGCAGAAAGCCTCAGGGGGCTCCCAGAACGTCTTCGTTTCCGCATTCGCTGCCGCAGGCTCAGCGCCAGCGATCACTCTGCTCGCTCCCCCCATAGTTTCAGCTTTGACGTCAAGTGGCCCTACAGCACCTTATCGGTGCCCGGCTTTCTTAACGCCTAATTTGAAATATTAAATCTTGAACTTTCGGCTTCAGCCGCACTTAATTTCCCAGTGGCGCTGCGCGCAGCAGCAGCAGCCGCAGCAGCAGCAGCCGCAGCAAGCGCGCAGCTAATGGCCATTTAGCCGTGCACCCACCGCTGCTGCCGCCTGCAGCGCATCTGCTGCTGCTTCCCCGCTGCCCCGGGGCACCTCGGGAGCCCCTTAGCTGCTGGCAGCTGCAGCAGCAGCAATGGAGGTTGCGGGGCCGTCAGCGCGTTCGCTGCAGCGCACGTCGGCAGTTGCTGCTGCTGCTGCTGCTTCGAATTCGCGGGCGCAGCCAGCAGCAGCAGCAGCAGAGCGCTCGCGTTTGCTGCTGCTGCCGCGCTGGCTGCTGCTGCGGGTGGCCCGCTTCCTGCCCGCCCGCGACTTGCTCAGCCTCGAGGGCTCCAGCCGCCTCATAAGAGAAGCAGCAGCAACTTGGGACGGCCTTTGGCGCCACCGCATCATTTCCGACTTTGTCCGGAGATACGAGAGCCTCCCAGCAGCTCTTGACATCTCCAGGGGGGCCCCCTGTTCCTGCCACATCACTGGCGGTGGCTGCTGCGCAGCAGCTCCCGCCCCTCCCGAGGGGCCCCCCCCCGGCTCCCCAGGGCCCTCCGGGGCCCCCCCCGGGGGGCCCCCCTGGGCGTCCCCGGAGGCCCCCCCGGGCGCGCCCCCCCCGGG